GGGAAAGTGATGGTCACGAGCAAGTAGCAGGCTTCAGAGAAATGAAAGGAGCCACACAGCTTGGGCTGGAGCCCCCACAAGCTGTGCAGCCCACAATGATGCACCTCACCAGAGCAGGCCTCAGCTTACTCACCTGGAACACAACCTGACGAGACACCCGTGAGCAGAGGAGCCAGGCCCTACCAAGCACAACCTTTGGTGTGACCTTCGCACACTCAAGGTCATTGTCAGCAGGTGTCTCACTGCCACGGTTCTGGGGAGGCACATCCACAGGCCTTCCAACTAAGGGAAAATGCGTTTTGGCCAAGTCTGTGCCATCCAAAGCTGAGGTCCCAGTCACGGGGCTGACAAACAGTGGCCTCTCACAGGCAGGGCCTTCCTAGCAAGCCATTCTCTGCAGGCTTAGGTCAAGGATTCTACTGGCAACTGTCATTTGTTGAACTGGACTCAATCAATCTGCAATGTCCTTAGAAGCAGCACACGGAACCCCAACCTTCAGGGATTCCTCACAAATGAGGTCCTTGGGCTCTCTCCAGAAAGCAAGTTCAGAGCAACTGAGAAAAGGGCGGGTGGTGGCGGGGGGGGGGGGGGTGGGGTGGGGTGGGTAGTGGGGAGGAGTGTTAGAGAAAGTTTTAGAACCTCAGTTCAAGAAGACACAATTGCCAACTTCAAGATTAGCCTAGGGCTGGCCTTAGCTTTATTTTATTTATTTATTTTTTTTAGCTTTATTTTAAAACTGTGCTTTTGTGGTTTATTTTAGAAATGGTTGGTGCTACTGTACCCCTGTGGGGGAAAGAGTGCTTCTACATCTAAAACCTGAGAAGCACAATTTCCACCTTTCATTCCTCCAAGGTTCCCTGCTGGATCGCGAACATGCTCAGGTGTCTAGGAACATAGTTTGGGAAAGGGGGGAAGACACACATCGTTTACTTGTACACATTTTGTGCTTGCCATAAATGCATCTGAATTCAGCTTCTCATTCAGGGAATTAATTCCCTGAGGCCAAACTGAAAGGTTCCCACAACTCCTACTCAGACACAACAGCTCCAGGGACCTCCAACTTAGTTGGCAATGAAAGGAAATATGCAAGCCTAAGAGCAAAAGTTCTCAAGTCTGACAATGCCCTTTAGTCGTGGCTATGCATCACCCCTAAAACTAGATGACAAATTATGCATGTATGTGCTTTCTTTTTTTTTCTCACAAAGCTTGTCCAAAGTCTTTATCAGCTTCCCAAATGAGTCCAAGAGAAATCCTATAAGAAACACCATCAACAAGAACCTTTCGGTGGCTGGAGACCTTTCAAGTGTGTCTGTAATTAAAGATAGAATATTGTAGGTCAAGGGAGAGAAAGTCAGAAAAAGATTTACTTTCTAGGACTACCCCTGCCATGAACCAGTTTTCTGACCTTAAGCAAATCTATCAGTCTATCCCTCAGTTTCCACATCAGTAAAAGGAGGATGTTTGGAAGCTGAATGATCCCTTAACCTCGGGACCCTTAAAAATACCAGGATTGTGAGCTTCAACAAACACCGGAAAAAGGTGTCCAAAAGGCCTGCACAGAATCCTGCCTGTTACCAGCAGAGTGCCTTAAAATATTCTCCACCACTTTCCTTGGAGGGGTCAAAGATAGAAGCCACCTCTCATTTCCTTCTCTTTCGTCTATTTCAGAAAGCCAAATTTGAAGTTTCACAATAATGCCCTCTGAAGGGATCTGAACTACGAACTTCATGCAAAAAATACGGTCATTCTGTAAGAATGCATAAGAAGCTCAAAATATGTAAAATAGAATTTCTCTAAAGCCTCATTACAAATCATGTAATCACCGCATCAACTTCTTTCAGCCGGCATCATCTACATCTGTGAATATATGTAACTGATGAAAATTAATTATGAGTGTCATAAAAATGGATGTTCTAATATAATCCTAGACGTCTGGGTCACAACTATTGCTCTATTACAAGAGAAAAGTCTTTCCCTTTATTCCACTTAGCTCTTCTATACCTTTAGCAGTAAATGTCTGCTTTTCACAAAAGTGACGGTGAGGTGAAGAAACTAAATATTTATTGTTACTTAAGGCTAAATTTCACTAAAAGCAACTTTTTTAGTTGTACATATTCTATGGTATCCTAACTTGGCCATGAGACTGTAAATTTTCAATCTAATTATCATTCCCCTAATTCTAGAGCAAAGTTATATGTAGTTACTTGTGGCAGCAAATTAAACTGAAGCAGTTTCATAGACACTTGCTAATAAAAAAAAAAAGTAGATGAAAACAGATTCTGTTTTCACAAGCCATTATCAAGTGAACGCTTACAGAATGCCCTGAAGCCATCTAAAACCCATTCCACCAAAGGATAAACTAAGGTTCAAGATGATGAATCAGAAGTCACACAATGAGGCAGTATGAGAAGTCGATGACTTCTATAGACCTAACTGCAACATCCTCCTCTAGAATGCTGGAACGAGATTAGCATTTGATTGGAGGAGTTCTGTGTCTGATATATGCACGGCTGACTTCCAGAAAACATTAGGATAAACAGCAAAGTACAGTAGTTGGGCTTACTTCAGAGCATAAGACAGGTTGTGTTCACCTGTCTCACCACATAAGAGCTCATTCTTCATCTTCATATCTTCCAAAGTCAACGCAATAGGCAATCATGTTTGCAAACACCATTTCTCAACAATAAAGCATCCAGATAACTCAGTGAGAGGAATGAGTTAAAACTCCAGGTCAACCAGGGCACCATCCCATCCCAGGAAAGGAGGTTAGTGCTGGAAAGTATGCAAAAGAGGAATGAAGAAAATCCAGAAGTGGCTGTGAAAGAAATCCCTGCTCAGGAGAAAGAGGCAACTTGCTTTCCTCACTAAATGCCACTTTTCAAAGGAGACTCAATCTTGAGGGCCTGACCCCTTGTGGCCTTAAACATAAACCAAAACAAGGACGTGGGTGTCAAATTTCTTGGCACAATCACAAAGGGATCAAAAATTAGAGAAATTTAATGAGCAAAAATTAAAGTTTCTAGAAAACGAACCCCTCCTTACCTCATTGCCAAAATCTCTAGAAAAACGCTTCAGCAGAGAATGTAGACATTTAATATTCATTTGAGGCCTAGGAGGGTAAAGCAGATATGATTGTTGTATTGGATGGAGGGTGTTTCCCAAATAAATGTACAATTCCAATTTCTTAAGGTAAGATCTCAGGTCCAGCTCCTTTAGAAGAACGAAGACCATCATGATCTTTCTATGAAATTCAGTGAGACTGCTTTAGACTGAAAGGTTAAGACTTCATCTCGAGTTACTCCACCATAAACCAGACAAAGAAATTCTTCAAAGGCTATGAGCCTTTTTTTCTTATAAGCACCCACAGGAATGGGTCAATGTAAATGTCATGTAAACAAAGCATTCATTACCAACCACAGTTTGTTTCTTTTGTGAGAAAAACTGAAGCCAGGGCAACTGCACCCAACATTCACAGGTAACTGCCCCTGAAGCAGGGGACAATTTAGATTCATAATTGACCCTCCAGCCTCGGGCTTTGCTTATGCTTGAAAGGCAAGAGGTACTGGGAGTTGGGGAATCCCAGTGTTTGATCCCTTCTCCTTTACTGTCTACAATCAAGTACATGGGGACTTGAACTCCCCTTCCAATCCCTCCAACAGAGGCCTGAGTGTCTGAGGAAGTCCACAGACAACAATCAAACCTTTCATTTCAGGGCCCTTTCCCCACCATGCCCCTTCCTGTTCCAATCAGGTCTGCGAAGCATTTCCCCTATTCCGCATTTCATGAATCAATTGCAAAATCCGCCAACCTCTGCCAGTTACTCTTGTACTCAGCGGAGAGGCTCCCCTTGCTTCCTTGGGTAGCACAAGGCTGCTCTGGTTTTTAACTGGCGTAACGTGGAAATGCACCGTAGGAGCTCACTAACTCTTTCAAAGCCAGACACATGTTGAGAAACTGGAGCTCCCTCCCCATCGTCCAGGAAACTGGACCCTCTAAGCTCAGCTTAAAGCCCATTGGTGGAAACTAGTTTTGGCCTCCCCAAGTCCAGTGTGTCGGTTACCATCACCCTGAAGAAAAACAAGAGTGAGAAAGGCTACAAAGTCTCCAGCTCAGTTACTTAGCAACTGGACAAAACTTGCTTCACTCCAGAGGGTGAGGAGCATCTTACCACCCATTCAGAGAGTAACAGTCTCCGATTTACATGCAAATTGATAAAGACAAAAGAAAAGAGGAAATCTAAATTAGCAACTGGAGTTTACAGCAGTAGAGCTGAGGCCCAGATTTACAAACGGCTTTCTCCCAGGGGGGAGGCAGGATATATACATACCAACAAGCACACATGAATGAATGCCCCATGCATGCATGCGTGCATGCACGACCACAGGCCCTAACCGGCTTACAGTCTCCCTTCATAAAAGTCAATGCCACCTGAGAGTAGGGAAGAGACAGGCACAGAAAGTTTAGGAGCTAAAATTAGAGCACTTCCACTACTAACACACATTTAAGGTTTACGGAAAGATGACAGTTGGGGGGTGGGAGAATTCCAGGGAAAGCAGCTTCCCCTCCCTGCTCCGGGGAACAGCAAATAAAGCATCAATCTTGGGTGGAAGGTCCCTAGACTGGGTGGATTCACGGTCTCTGGGGTCCCTATAACCTCTCACAAACACTCTCCTGGCTCCACCGGTGAAGCGCAGGTTCCAAACTTGGATCAAACCCACACCCTTCATAGAAGACACATCACCCTGAAGGTTTTCCAAGCAAGAGGGAGACACTGTCACGTACTTGGCCCAAGAAACTTCTCCAGGCTTTTCCGTTTGCCCGAGGAGCGCCAACTCTGGGTCCTCAGCTCTGAGCCACACACCAGAGAACCAGGCTGCTCTGTCCCAGGCTTGGAGCAAGAGAAAGAGGACCGGAGGGGCTCCCCGTCCCACGCCCGTCCCCCAACCTCACGCCTGGACCCAGGCGGGCAGGGCCCGGGGCTAACCCGCTGAGGCCGTCACTTACTTCTCGTACTCGGTGTTGTCCCGGTCACAGCGAGAATCCTTGTGCTTTTGCCAGTCTTTGCCATGCTTGCAGGTGGTGAGCAGCACTACGTCCTCCCCGTTATGGACGTGATATAAGGCATTCCTGGTGTCTGACCCTATCCCTGTCAGGTACCTCTTCCCCTTGAAGACCAGCATGTACTTCCTGAGAGGAGGGATAGTGTTAAACTTCAAAAACCCCCTCTCCCCTCCTGTCCTGGGATGATCCTTAGAAAAGAGGGGAATAGAAACATCAAAGTTGGGTCGGAAGTTTTCAGTACTGATGCTGGCTTTAGCCAGCATCGCCTGGCCAATGTCAAACCCCACGTCCTCGGTGTAGTCAGGCCAAGTGCCGGAATATAAATTAAAAATTAAATGATTCCTACCGTTGTTCCACAAGTGGAGACTCTGCACTTTGGATCTCAAATTGTGCACATACTGAGGTGACAACTGGTCTCGGTCTAAAGTGTCCAGACTCAGGACAAAGAGGCACGCCTGGCTGGGGTCCGAGGTATAGAACCTGGAGCCCTCGATGGCCGCTAGAATATTTTGGTAACTTTCGGCGATTTTCTCCCCTTTTTGCTGTGGGTAGACGTAGACTTTGAAGCCGTTTTTCTTGCAAAGGGTGAAATCGAAGCAGGACTCCATGCGGCACTTCTTGCCTTTGTAGATGCTCGAGTTGGCCTCTCGCTTCTGCCGGGGCGAAACGTGCACACTGGAATCCTCGTTTTCCAATTGATCCCAGGGAACGAAGGGGCGCAGAGCGTCCGGGAAGCGGGGCCAGAAATGATCCGGACTCGGGTGGTGCAAGCCATTCCGACCGCTGTGCTCTTCTCTCCGGCTGTGGCTTCTCGATGCCCTAAACTGCAAGCCTCCGAAATAAAACAAAAGGGCGAGACAAGAGCCAGCTGAGAGCAGGATGAAATAGCGTTTTTTGGCCTGCATGTGTCCTGCCTGGGTCAAGAGGATTGTAAATAAACACAAGAATCACCCAAGTTTCCCAATCAACACTTTCAGCTCCAGTCCGCCATCTTCCCGCCCGTAAAGACTTCAAACTCTCCGCTCCCACCTTCTCTGGATGCCTTTCCCCAAGCCGTGGACTGATCCAGCGCATGTGGGCGATTTCTTTAACTTTCTCCCCTTCGGTCTTTCATCTTTGGGTTGCACAATGGACGGGAGAGAGCGGGGCGGAATATCTCGCACCCAGGGCTGGCGAGCAGCGGACTGTAATTCTCTTGCATGCAACAAGACCGAGGAAAAGAAAGAGAGGGGGGTAAAAAAAAGCTCCCAATGCCCAATCAATGGCAAGACGAAGTGATTTCCTTGCCTCTCGGATTCCTCTCGGCAGCGTGGAAAAGGAGCCCCTGGAAAGCAACTTCAACTCATCCAGGCTCCCGTGCAGAACACTCCGGTTCCAACAAGTCAGCCGATCCCCGGGTTCAGCCGGCTAGTGCATCTTGCAGCTGGGGCGCCGTAACCTCACAAATCCCTGCATCTCTCTTTATTCCCTTCTGCAGCGGCTCCGAGACTCCGGCGGTGTTTACTCCTGCGCTCGCGGGGCCGGCCCCCGGGACGCGCGGCGGCCCGGCTGGAGAAGACTGGAGGCGGCGGCGGCGGCGCTGGGTGACGGCGGCGGCGCGTCCTCCCCGCGGGCAGTGCCGGCCCCGAGCGGCGCTTCCCAGGCCCCCGCGCGATCGCTGCCGACCGCCGCGTTCGGTCGCCGAATGTTACCCGGTTCTGAATGTTACACTTACACATTCCATTCCCGACACGACAGCGCTGACCTCATCCATCCACGCAGCCCGCGCTGCCATTGGCCAAGCGTCACGTCCGGGGGGGGCGGTGCTTCCGCTGCGCCCATTCATAACCCCCGGCCACCGGCAGAGGCGCCGGCGCGGCGCTGGGGGTGCGGGCGGCGCGGGGACCCCGGGGCGCCTCGGCCGGGCGCCCGCGGGCAGAGCGCGGGGCTGCCCCGAGAGAGTCCCGCGGCCCTTCGGCGCGCCGGGATCCGGACCCCAGCCTGGGCCGCACCACCTGCAGCCGCCGCGCCGGGAAACCAGCGCCTCCCAGAGGCGCCTGCGGGCGCGCTGAGGCTGTGGAATCAGGGACCGGCGGGTGCTTCCCCGGCCCGCTGCTCCGGCTGCCCCGGTCGCCCTCAAGAATTCCTACTCCTCGGCTGCCTGCCGGGAACGCCTCCCCGAGCGGGCGGCGGGGAGTGTTCGGGCTCCTGGAGAAGAATGCTCGAAAAGTGGAGCAGTGGGGCTAGCCCTTAGGCTGCAGGAGGAAAAAAAAAAAAGATAAAAGACTTCATAGAAAGCGACCGCTGACCAGAAGGATCCCTCTCTCTGCCCACCTTCCACCCTCTGAGGGCCCCAAATTTTCCTTCCTACAAAGCATTTAAACAGGTCCCTTATCCCCTAAATGTTTGCTGTGTCGCTTCAGTCGTGTCCGACTCTTTGCCACCCCCATGGACTGTAACCCGCCAGGCTCCTCTGTCCATGGGATTCTCCAGGCAACAATACTGGAGCAGGTTGCCATGCCCTCCTCCAGGGGATCTTCGCAACCCAGGAATCGAACCCATTATCTCCGGCGTCTCCTGCATTGCCCATCTTTTTTTTCTTACCCCCAAGGAACCACCCCAACCCCCATTAATAAAAAGGAAATGCTACAACCAAAAGGAATCGTTTCGATTCTTCATGTCTGTCTGTGCACTAATTCACCTATCCCAAATCACCAGTAACTTTCCGCGCATCCTTTCCTAGCTTCCGGAAGCCCTTTGTCTATTCTCTAGAAAGCTTCCAAGAGATCCAATCACACTGTGGAAAAAAGAAAGAGCTTCTAATAGCCGAGAATAACCCGGTTGATTAAAGCTCCTCCCAGTACCGAAAGAGATGTTACTCTCTTTTGCGGGGAGGGGTAATGGTTTTTAAGGAGCTGTCTCTGAGGAATAGATGACTGGTAGAATGGCCAGCTGTAGATGAGACACTTGAGGCAGGAGATGACCTTTTTTACCATTAGTACAAGCTAGTTCTTCCTTCAGCAGCCCTCCCACACCCCAGCCATAAGCACCTGCTACCCTCAGGGACCCATCACTGGACAAATCAGATAAAGATCCAGAGTCTCTCTAAAGATCCTCCAAGACTGCAAAGATGTGCTCCCAAACAGTACTTCTGGTCAAAGCCAAGTCCCTGGCCTTGCAGCCTGAATTCTGCTTTACTGGGAACACCTCCCACCCTCTTCCCCAGCCTAAGTCACAGGGGCCTGGCCAAATTCGACAAACAGTTGCCTAGGGCAGCAAGCTGTTTAGTGATTGTTTATTACTGGAGGGACTGAGAGCCAGGGAGAGACACATCCCAGTTTTCCCCAAGGCTGCAAAAAAAAAAAAAAAAAGAAACTCCAGCGATTGTGGAAAAAGGACATCGTTATAAATGAAGCAGGGTGAAATGATCAAGTGGAAAATTTTAGACATTTGTTGTTTCCGATTTGTTTTTAATAAAGGGGTAAAAGGGCCTGGGTGGGACGTTGCTGTACCTTTCTGAAGTCTTGCCCTGTCTCTGACATGCCAAAGATGAGATAGCTTTTCCAGATTTGACGTGTACTCCCTGCACAATCAGACAGGCCCGGGAGAGGAATGAGGCTTCAGTCATCTTCCAGATACAATGACAGTGATGCAGATAAATGCAGTGACTGAAACCTCATGTGACCCAGGGGCCCACCCCAGCCCGGGTTGCTGAGAGCACCCATGCAAGGCAAAGGCCCTTCTGTTGAGATTAGGGTGCAGATTTTCTCAGCCCCGTGGAGTTGGGGCTATGGGGACTGCAGCCCCTCTACTCCTGACAGCCATCCTGTGTGACCTTAGTGGGAGCAAGTTACAGCCCTTGCTCTTTTGTGTCTCTTTCTGCTTTGATATATTTTTCCCATCTTGCCTAACCATTACGGATTCCTTCATCCCACGCTCCAGGGTTATCCAGCCCTACTGTCACATTCCATAGTGGTGTACACTGTGAGAAAACTCTGGTTCTGAAAATGAGAGAAAATTTGGATTCAGACCCCCAGATCTGTCATTTACGAGAGCCTCGGGCATGTGGTTTAATCTCATGGAATATCAGCTTCTCACTTAAAAAGTCAGAATAATAATATTTTTTAATGAAACTAGATACCATAAATTGTTCTATGTGTGCAACACTTTTTGCTCAAGTTGCACATTTCAAAAGCCAACTGGAATCTAAAGTAGCCCTCTACAATGGCATCATCATTGCGTCTCCCTCGGTTTTATTTTCTCCCCAGCCCTTCTCAATAGCTGAAATCCTTTGTTTGTTTGTATTTCTTCACTGTAAGGGGAGCTTCCAGAGTGCAGGAGCCTTGTGTTACTCGTTCCTCAAACCCCAAGGCTGCCATAGGTAGCTCTGGTATTCGGGTGGAGCCCAGTCACTGATCTGAATGATGAATCAATTACTAAAGTTCAACTTCACCTCAGCATTTGAACACGCTTGAAGAGAAAGGTGTCCCTCGTGGTCTCTCAAAGCAGGTCTGAGTCTGTAATTTCCATATTACAAACTAGGAATATCTTAACATAAGGCAAATCAGTCCATCAAAAATCTTTCACAATGTATGTCAGATCATATCATTCCTCTGGTCAGAGCCCTCAAGGAAACCATACATCAGAATCCCAGCCAAAGCCCTCACAAGCCCCTATAAGGTCCTGGAGGATCTTCCCTAACTGCCCCCATCCCTCCTCACCAGACCCCTCTTCACCTTATTTTATACCAATAACTCTCTCCCTCCATCCCAGTCTACTCACTCTTCTCCAGCTGGGCTGGTTTCCTTGTGGTTTCTCATACATGCCAAACATGTCCCTGTCTCAGGGCCTTTGCACGTGTTCATCTGGGCTAGTCTGTCCCTGGTATCCACGCTACATCTTTCCTCCCTTTTAAGTCTCAAGACCACTTTACAAATGAGCCTCCTTTGACCTGCCTGAACAACACAGCAACTCCCCACCCCCACCACAGTTTTCCTATCCTCTCAACTGCTTTAATTTTTATCCTAACACTAATTGACATCATATACTACAAATATATATTGTCTTGTCAACTTATCATTTATCTGTTGCATCTAGAATGTGAGCTCTGTGAGGCTCTTTTAGTTCACTGCTGTATCCCCAGCACTTACTTACAACAGGGTCCATCACTAATAAGTATTTGTTGACCTAATTAATTAATTTGATCCCACTATCTGTAGGGCAAATAAAGAATATTCAAGGCTATAGTTTCAGTCTCACACAAGCGCACGCACTCACACGAAGCTAAAGCTACCCTGGTGATTCCCAGTGATTCAATCCTTCCTTAATTTCTTCTTTCAGGAGTAATTTTTCCAGGGCCAAAAGCATCACGGCACACTTGATACCCAGAAGATAGCAATTCTCACCTTGGTTCTGCCACTGACTTTCTAACTTTGAGTGAGTCAGTCACTTCTGCTCCCTAAACTTTGGATTCTTATTGGTAAAATCAAGAGAAACTGTAACATAATATAGACTGTGCTCAAGTACTGTACAAATGGGTAATATATGAGGAAGCCCTTTGCAGTCCACAACACATATGGCAAATGTAAGATTCGACTGTCACAGTCTTGGACAAAACTAGACACTGGTGCATGAGATCATGTTTGCAAGTCAACAGCATTACCTACATGAAATATCACCCACCAAATACTCAACAGTTTCCAGATGCTTCCCAGACTCTGGAATGGTCATTGACTATTATAAGCAAACAGGAACAAGGAAGATGGGAAACTCACCAATGGACAAAAAAGTAAATAAGACCTTTTTGGTTATGTGTAAAGCACCAAAGGCACAAATGCCTTTCAAGGGTCTATAATTACATCTACTGGAGGGGAAAAAAAAAATTGACTTCAAAATGTAAAAAAGCAAACTAAAATACTTACATTGATAAGTGCTTAAATTTTCTAAAATGTAACTTTCTGTCGAATGCCAAGGCAACCCAATTTTCATAAAGTTATACACAGATTTTATTTGATGTGGGCACATTTTAATGCTTTGGTGGTGTGTGCTGGGGTTTCTAACAGTAAGCATTGCCGGCTCTCAGAAAGGTTGGGAAACTCTGCTGGGTACGTGCTGATTGGTTGTAGGAGGTGAGAAAACAGAAGGAGCCAAGGGAAAGTTGAGGCATGGTGGAGAGATTCCCAGCCAGGAAACAGGAGCCTGGGTTCCAGTCCCTTCTCTGGAACTCTGGGAAACCAGGAGCAGGTGGTTTCGGAATAACAGGTGTTTCATCTGAAAAATGCGGAGTAGGACTTGATGATGCCTTTTCACTGAAACAGACAGGGCAGCGCTGTGTAAACCAAGGGAGTGGAGGAGGGGAATCACTTAGGAGGGAGGAAGTGGGAACTCTCGGTGGTGGGGGACAATAGCCAAGGGTGAAACAAGGACAACCTCGCAAAGATGTGTCAAATCCTGAGCCAGGTGCTTTGTACGCATCGTCTCCGCAATCTTCCCAAGGTTCTTAGGACACAAGTACTATCCTTATCCCGTGTTGCAAATGAGGACACAAAAAACTCAATTCTGGGAAGGGGCTCCATGCAATTCAACCATCCATTTCATGGAATCGTCCAATTCATCCATTCGTTCCTTGAGCCAGTATTTACTAAGCAGCTACTCTGTGTAAGGCGCAGTGCCGGACACTGAGGTTATTTGCCTACAGTCCTTTGTCATTTACAAAACAATTTCATGACAAGAATTTTGCTTGAGCATCGTCAGGACCCTATGAGTTAGGAAGAGAGTGTTAATCCTAATTTTCTAGTTCGGGTTTTCTCAGCCGAGGCACTGTTATTTTCCTGAGCATAACGTAGGGGGCTGGCCCTTGCATTATAGGATGTTTAGCCACAACCCTGGCCTCTATCCATTAGGTGCCAATAGCACAGCCCACTCTCACTTGCATCCTCAGTTGACACCAAAAACATCTCTAGACACTGCTTAACACTTCAATGAGACAAAAATCACTCCTTGTTGTAACCCATTAAATCAGTTCAATGACCTACCCAATATCAGCTGATTTTCAAGTGGAGAATTTAGAATT